TTTAAAGCCTGGTGAAAAATGAAGATTGGGAATCGATACATAAATTTCTTAATAATGCAAAGCTTGAAAAAATCAATTAGGCATAATTTCATATGATTTTTGAATAGACTTCTTTCACCGGAGATCTTTTCGTAATATAATAAAAATTTGATAACACAGCATGTTAAGCTGCAGTACTATTTATATGTTTATAAATGAGTGTTAATTTATAAATAAGACGAATGTGGTACATAACAAATACTGCTTAATCATGTTATGTGTCGTTTAAATAATTAATATGTAATATACGAATGTATCAAAATTTTTGTAATTTTATATGTTAATTCGTTGTTACTGTCTTCTGATTTATTGTTCATACTGCTTGTAGAAGTATTTCGTTTCGTTTAATTAATTGCTTCGTTACTACGAAACACTGCTATACATACATATATTGCATATATTGTAAGACATCTTTCATTTGTTCATCATCGTATGCTATTCTTATTGTAAATTGTTATACAAACGGTTATTTTTCATTTCAGTTCTATGTAGCAATCGAGTGAGCCAAATGACCAAGACCTATAATGACATAGAAGCAGTTACAAGGCTTCTGGAGGAGGTAAATGTGACCGTTTATAAGTAATGCAATTATATATCTTTTTTATATAGCGTACGATGTTATTAAGAGAAAATTTTTAACAAATTCAGAAAGCTCGGTATATATCAATCGTCAAACTATTAACCCTCGGACGCTGTAATAGTCACACGCTTGGCAGACACTGGGTTAAATATGACCCAACATTAAAATATTCTTCGTACGCAAGCGAAATTGCATTTTTTTTTTTTATTTTACTAGGCACTATATTGTTTAAAATTATGATTAAAATAACAAACATATTTGTCGTGATTCCGTTTCAAATGCCGGTTGAAACGAAAAACATCTAAACGCCAGGTCAGCAATGACCCGGCATCCGCCGTCCGAAGGTTAATTCGTTAAACGTTGAATAATTAGAATGCTAAATGTTTGTCAACTTTTAGAAAGAAAAGGACTTGGAATTGACTGCACGTATTGGTAAAGAACTTCTATCGCACAATCAAAAACTCGAAACCACGGTCACCAGTTTAGAAACAGGTTTGAAAGAAGCCAATGAAAGAATTACACAACTTACGCACGAACTCGCAAAGAAGACAGAATTAATTCAAATACTAACAAATGATACGGAAGAATCGAGCTCTGAAGCCGGCTCGCCCACCGGACTTTGTAGCATTAGTCTTGACATGATGCAAAAAAAGATCAGTACTCTCGAAGATGAAAATAAACAGTTGAGAGCTGAATTTGCAAAATTGATGCATGAGGCTGATAATTCGGAAGAACAGGAGGCGAAGCTTGTCAAAGATATTGCTGCTCAACTCGGTTAGTCGAAGAATTTTTGTCAGAAAATTATTCAAATATTATGTTAATCCTTCATTATTTGAATTAGACGTATGAAAAATCCATGAAACAGTTCCATACTTTTCGTACTGAATTTAATAAAGATTTTAATTTGAAATTCACCTAATAGATAATTTCTTTTTGATATAGTAAATGCAAACATAGAAGTAGATGGAATGTCAGAAGAGCTTGACAGGCAGAAGGAAGAAAATCGACTGCAACACGAACAAATCATCAGTTTGACAGCAAAATTAGCTGAAACAGAATTGAGATTGGCACAGTTGATGGCCGAACATGATGAAGTTGGAGCTACGTTACTCATCACCAAGGACAATCAGAACACTCTGGCGAGCGAGTTGGCCGAATTCAAGGATCGATACACGGAGGTGTGTCCTCGGGCTAAAATATATTACCGAATTACTTTCACTTCGCATGCTCTTTTTCTTCTGATATAATTTTTTATAACTTGTCAGAGGCAAAGTGAGTTATGTTAAACAATTTAAATTAAATTAGTTTAAATGACACTAGTCATTTAGTATTTTTTTTTTTAAACAAGGTGGTGAATTTATTGGCGGAAACTCAGGAACAATTGCGAAAACAAAGAAAAAAAGGGATGCCAACGGTTAAAGGAGGATCTTTGTTCCCTTCAATGGGTGCGGCACCACAACCAGATTCCATTGCTTCAGAATTAGAATCATCTCTTTATTCTGAATTCAGCTTAGATTCTGGCATCAGCACTGACAGGATGTACGTTTCTTTAATATGTATCCAGTATTGTTAATCCGAGTTAACCCGAATATTATAATCTATGTTCTTAATATTACACAGACCAACGTACAAGAAAGTTTTCGAAACTGTGAGAAGCGCATCAAGAAACACTACTTATGCAGCTGATGGAAATCAATTTCCACGACTATGTTCAATGACAACATCGACATTATCAAGCGGTTCTACTGGACCACGAATGAGTTGTGGACAAATTCGTCCTTTGGTATCGACAT